TTTCTTATAAATATAAAGGTCCATTCATGATAATAAGAAAATTAACTCCAGTATCCTACGAAATAGAAATGCTCAAGAATGCAAATTAGTTAGAGATAATATACATGTACAGAGATTAAAACTATATCATAGGCGTGATCACATTGAGTAAGACAACTGTGCTAAAAGTAAGTAAAGAATGTGATAAACAACAGTATTTCAGTGACACCGAATGCATTTAGAACCTAAATAACTGTTTATTTTTTTCCTTTGTAACGATTTCTTAAAGAAACAGTCAATACACGTCAAATATTAATACAATAATATAAACAACCTTGAACTAAAATATAAGTTTTTCCTTGTTATAAGATAAGCAATTTAAGTTTGTAAAACACAACCACACTTCACGCACGACCGAAAACTGAGACTCATGTAAATAATTGTAAATAAAGTGGCCACTGTAGAATAGGAAATATATTTAAGAACACATTATCGTATTTTAATCATTATCTCTAGTGCACTCAGTGTGCTTCGTTATATTAAACAAAACGTGATTACCATGTCAATATGTTGAGACTTAACCATGCAATGTATAAACGACAACTTACATGACAAATACATTCCCGATAGTGACGCCTTAAGCATTAGTTCAATGCAATATTGTAAATAAATACTTGGCCAAGACAATCATTATATACATGAGGATATTCATGACCTCACATTACGAACACAAACAAAACTAGTTTGACTAGACAAAAAAAACCTCTTAAAATAAGAGAATTTTCTCACCATATTATGTTATTAGCCTGATCAACTAATAATCGTAATTATTTGGCTAGGGAAATTATTCTCTTAAGACAAGAAACCACTATAAAGACTGAGCTCAGCAATTAAATAATACCAATATGAGACTAGTAAAGTCATAAGTCATATAAACTTATAACTTATACATATAACTTAAGTCAAAATAAACTAATTTGTATATATATATATAGAATTATGGAACACTATAAACTTATTAAAATAAAGTAGTAATAGATAAGAATGTTAGCTAGGAATAAAGGGTTTTAACACTCATAAAACAAATAATTTTGTAGTTTAAACATATGTGTATAACAATAAGAACAAGGAACAATTTATCAGCAATTCGTGTCACTGAAACTACTCTCAAATGTCAAAATAGTTCAAATCATATTAGTTATTAGCTCACTCATTATTCTTAATAAAAGGGGAAAATGACCAGCACATAAGTAGTAAAGCAGCAGGATTTTTTCTTTGTTTTGTAATTACAGCTCAGCTCAACAGAGACAACGCCAACGAGTGACGAGTCCACAACGCGCCGTCATCAGAACCTGACCTCCTGTCATCTGCTCTACTACGGCGGCGACCCCACGTCATCTGCTGAGTCTGACCAACGCTGCACAACAACACACTGCACCACCTGATCTCTACCCGCTGACCTAGAAACTCAACCACAATGAACTCTTACACAATGGGACTGTGCATTTTAATCATCTCAGTCTTGTCACTATCATCAGCTGACATACCTAGACATATAATCTCCGGTGTGCAATTCACAGAAATCCCAACTATAATACCCTACCACTCAACTACACAGCTCCTTTATAAATTCCCTTATCACACTAAATCTTCTTACGAAATTCCAACTTCAACTACAAGAAAGACAACCTGCCAAAATTCCTTCTTCAATTCAAACAAATTCTGTACCAACCAAAACTATCTTCAAGAAATCCAAAAATCAAATAAATTTTTAATACCAACGAATTGAATCTCAATCCTAAATTCAAATTACAATCTTACAACACCACATCCCGACCACGAAGAGCGCTTGACTTCATTGGATCTGCATTATCGTGGTGCTGTAATACAGCCACCATGACTAATCTGAAAGATTTATCTAAAAACGAAGAACAAGTAGATAACAAAATGAATGGCCTGCTTGACTATATGAAAGAAGAACATACAGATATTACACTGGCCGAAGAAAAAATGAATAATTTTTCAAGTAATATAGATCATGTGTTAAAACAGCTGCATGATTCCCTAAACAAATACGAGAGGACCATCCAAGAAGATATTAATATTACGAGCACAACAATCGATGAAAAAATTCTCCAAAACAACCTCGAAATTATGTCCTACATCTACTTGACCGCACACTACTCATCTCTCTACAAGGTGGAACAAGACTGCCAACACAACTACATACCGGAAGATCTCCTTAATATGCAAACCCTCCAATCAGACTTAAAAAAACTCTCATCAAAACTAAAACCATTCAGTCTAACTATTGCCCTTCCTTCTTCCAAACTATTCCAAATTTATGGTCTACCTATTGCCAAATGTTATTTCGAACAAAATAACCTTATATTACAAATCAAAATCCCACTGATTCCTTCCAATACTTCATACAACGTATACTCCTACAACACTTTACCATTAAAGTGGGAGAACAACATCTGCAAATTGGTGGAACACAACTTCATCATAATAAAATCTTCTTCAGCACCCACAGTTATTGTCGACACAGATGACAACCCTCATTGTAACTATCGTTCTTCTAATTTATGCCTCATCCCACGTTATTCATCCATTTCCTCGCCAGCCTCAAAATGTGCAAAATATCTAATTAATGACACCAACATTTCTGAACTTAAGCATCACTGTGAATTTCATTGCACCCCTGCACCGGAACATCCTATTGTCACCGAGTTAAACGTAAATAAATTCCTGATAACTAATTATAACCATCATTTACACATAGTTTGTAATAATCATGAGATGACAACAACCCTGCCAGAAATTAAGTTTGGCACGCTTGAACTTGAACTGCCTTGCAATTGTAAATTATTGGACGGATCTGACATAATAATTTCTTCTATAGTTCCATGTGACTCCAGAGACTTTTCTTCTCCTTCAGCCTTTCATCTTGTACCGCTTCCTTGGACAAACCTAAATCACCTAAAAATTGATCCTTTCACATCTGACAGAACAGAATTTCTAAACATCAGTTCTTATTTATTACCTGCCTGGAATATTTCTGTCCCTACTTTCTCTACAAATAAATTAGAAAGAGTATCACTGTTCAAACATATTAATTTAACAAATACTTGGGCTGACATTGTCGATGATAGAAGAATCATGTTATATATACTAATAGTTTGGTGCATAATTTTAACATTACTGTTACTTATAGCTCTCTACAAAATTCATATTCTTACAATCAAACAAGACCTTCAACCACCTAGATTGCCACCTAGACTTCGTCCAGCACCCTCAGCTGCATCTATTCAAAATTCTTCCTTTTAAATTTTGCACCACGCCAAACCCAGTTTGTCGTTTTTAAGCAGGGGGGTGTAACTACAGCATATTCTTCCACAGATCTCAGTAATCCTATCCATGACTTCCCGTCCGTCTATACATTTCCTGTCCCACGGTGGTGTAACGTTCAGCTGCCGATGCATCAATCGTGGAGAGAGACAGAAGACAATCTGCAAGCTATGTACTTTTTGACATCTGCACATCAAGTCCACGTGGACTGTCTTAACCAATCAGAGAAGATTAACCAACGATCACACCCTCTGATTGGCTGTCTCTATAGGCGGACAGGGGGACGTCTATTCCACCAAAAACCCAGGAAAGGCAGTCTCCAGGAAGTCTTCGGTCGGGTCACCGCGTTGATCGGGAGTCGAAGTTTTCGGTCGCGAGTGATTCGCGAGGTGAAGTGATATTTTAACCATGGCCTGTTGCCTTTAAAGGCAGATTAAAAATTATTTTGTGAAGTGTCCAGTGCATCAACCCAAAAGTATGTCAATTTTATAATTATTTAATCTAAAAATGTAAGTCCTGCTCGCTTACTCAGGGATAACTAATTTAAGACTTTAGAAGTTAGATTTTCAAACTTTGTTTTAATTCTATTCAATTTACTTCCTTAAATTTGAAGGTTATTTAATATTTTATTTTTTTGTTTTACATTTTTAATTCATATTAACTCCAATTACCAATTTATTTCTTAGGATAAAGTATAATTTTACCTTATTAATTTGTCTATTCACTGTGCTGGTTCATTTCCCCTTGTTTAACTGTATTCGATTTATATATTATCATTGTATTTTGTTTGATTGACTTTAGCTTCTCCTCTTTTTAATAAATTGTAAATTCATTTAGTAACTCTAGTTTTATTCACAGTCCCGGCCCTCACGCAATAGCCAAGCGAGTACATTAACTAATCACATATTTGCTATTTATACAAAATAACAACAAATGAGTTACAATTCATAGTAGTTACAATATACATTATGTAATCGAGTTGAGTTGTTTTGTCGTCATTCGCGTTGCTGTTCTGTTATGAAAGACAATCTGATTGTCTCAGTCTGCACTGCATATCTCGTCAGGCCTTCAATCGATATCCTTTTATTTTTTGCATCTTAATTTAGTTCAGTTCAGTTCTTATCGTGATTATCTACTATTTGATGTCTTGACAATTCTCAATGTTTATAAACATATTAAAATAACATTGTGTTTATTTAAAAATTGACAGAACATTATTATTATTATGCACTTTTTTAAGAAAAAAAGTTTAATAACTTAGATAAGGTGACGCTAGGAAAAGCTCGGCTCGAAAAAGCTCGAGCTCGAAAATTTTTTAAAAAGCTCGGCTCGGCTCGGCTCGAGGTTGAAAATCACTATTCGCACACCCCTAGTTTAAATTGAGTCAAATACTTTTGAATTTTTTTTTACAGGTAGATAAGATCACACATAGTATTAAAGGTCCAGGTGTATTCACTTTTTGCAATCAATTATTTAAAAAATATTAAATTGATGTTACAGTAGTGATAAATTCTGAATTAAATTTGTACAAACCATCATTTATGTTACGATAGATATCAATTTCAGATAAATATCCATTAGAAACTACTTTAACTAGATAGTCTCTTAAATTGTACCTACGTTGCCAGACAGCAACCATTTTCAAAATCGTCTAACTTTACTTTGTGCAGAACATGAAGCTACCAGCGCCGCAGGATGAGGAGGATGTAGCTACTGAGAGAAACAGGATACGTTCTGGAGACACGAGACAAGATATCCTGCTGGTCAAGGACTTAGCCAAGGTGGGTGGTCACAGCTAATATTAGAGGCTGATAGTAAAAACTACCTTAATATTGTGATAACCGTAAAATTGTGTATTCATCATGGATAAAAGTGTTCCCTTTGCAGGTTTACAAAACTAGTGGAAGTGTGAAGCCTGCAGTGAACCAGGTGTGTTTTGGAGTGCGGCCGGGCGAATGTTTTGGTCTACTAGGCCTCAACGGCGCTGGCAAAACATCCACTTTCAAAGTACGTTAACTGTTTTCTTTCATACAGAAGACTGAGTTGGCTTAAATTAAAAACATTATATTATTATGCTTGAGGTTAAAATAGTGATATTTATGGTTATCCTGTATTTCCATGTTAAATAACTAAACTAAGAGTGTAAATGTTTTCAATAGTGCTGCATAAATGAGTAAAAAGTTTTTACTCCTATTTATAATTTTATAATCTACACTAATTTATTTGTAAACTTTTATTCCCTTCATTTTACTTTTACTTTGATAAGAATCCAATCAGCATTTATTAGCTGAGTATAAATGCAGGAGGAATTCAGCTCTGTTACTGAGTAAGACTAAGTGCGGGGCTCAGGACTAATGCTATTCTCAGACTAAAATATAGTTCAAACCAGTTTTTAATCTAGGACCAAAAAATTGGGTTTTGAAGCTCGAGGATTACGCTAGTCAACAACTGAGTCTAATTTATTTATTTATTTTAATCATGCAACAAAACATTATAAACCAAATACATTTCATACAAAGCTACAAAAGCCTCAGTAGGTTTGTCCGTAGCTATAGATAGAGTCCAGTTCAAAAGTCCATTCACAAAATTTCAGTCAGTTTCATATCTGGTACAAGCTGTTCTCCCAATCTGTTGTACTAAACATATAAGTATTCACATTTCATTACCGTATCTTACATTGTTTTAACAATAATAGGAAAACTAATAATATAACAACAATTTTAAAACAAGTAAATAAATATTTGAAAAAAAAACAATTTACTACAGGTAAGTAACAATCCCATGTTCACCTAAACTATTTAAACAATATTTAACAATAACAATGCATAGAATTAAAACTATTAACAAAGATAAATTCTGAAAACTTTAACAATTAATAAAACATCTCTTTAATTCTGCTTTCAATGAAGAGTATGACTTTAAATTACTTAAACTCATTGGTAACTCATTAAACAAATATGGCACTATTAGCATAGAATAAATAAACACCAGAGAAGAGCAGGGGCGGCCTAAACTGCATGGGATATTTATTCGGGCTGCCCGAGTTAGTTGGGCGGCCCGAGTTCAGAGTGCGCTAGCGTAGTCTTCGCGTCGGTAATGCAGTTCTGCAATACACAGTACGTTGTTGACGTCTACAGCAACGATGCGCTCGGCTCGTAGACCGTAATCGTGCGATTATGTTTTGGTATAATAAAACTAACATTTGAAATAAACTATTACTTTATTACGCATTAAATTTTATAAATGTTATTATTTGACTGTATAAATGAAATTGTGATGAATGGATTGCAATAAAGAAACTATTGCGGTTGTTTTAAATGAGAATGAAAACTAATGACTTATAATATACGTGGAAGGATTAGTCTCTCACGTCCTATAGAGCTTTGCGAACTGAACAATGTGATGCTCGTCGATACAATCACAAAGGACACATCCCTTGCCCTGGATTGGGGATTACAAACATTCTAAGAACTGGCAAGGGAGGGTCCGTCCTTTCGCAGAAGGACAATGTTTATGACATCGGTACCCGTGTAAAGCCGACAAGTGGCCCTGGCAGAATAAACGTTGGACTAAAATTTTTTTGAAATACTGAACTAAATAAGGGAACTGACTATCCTAAACAATTTACTTACAATATTATTTATACCTACTAAAAAAAATAAAAAAAACTATAAACAATCTTGATAAACAATATGATTCTATTGTTTTGAAATCTACTGTCAATGTCACTTAGACTGTAATTTTTTTTTATTAGTATTATTACAAATATTGTTGAACTGAACAAATAATAATATTGATATAAATTGTATCATACTGAAGGTATCCGTATAAATGTTTGCATACGAATGAATAGAAAACATTTTAACACCGTACGACAAGTTGAAATAGATTGCTTTAAGATTGGCGATAAAAATAGATTAGTGCCGGTGGACATTAGTCACAAAGCCCTGTTACTGCGTCAAAGTTCCCACCAGAAACAGGGTACTTCTTTTATGGAGAAGTTCTCTTAGAGATAGGCACTATCGCTCTAAGAGACGAACAACCAATAACGAATATTTAAACAGAAAGCTATATTTACGTTATTATATTCCCTCAAAAATAACCAAAAAAACCCTATTTTTAATATGCGTATATATAATAATACCTATACACATTCTTGACTAAATCTAAATACATAACATATTTATATTTAAAATGTACAAAGTCTAAACAAGAAAAATTAAAAGTAAAAAATAATAACGCATGTAAGATGCATAATTGCAGGCACAATGTTGAGTTGTAAATAAAGGAAATGGTCAAACTTATGAATGATGAAAAATGAAATGAACATCAAATTAAAAAGGTTAATGGCGTAGCTACATCATCACAAATAAAATAAATAAAACTATCGATATACCTGTAAAAGGTTACGTTAACAGCATACATTTAAATCGTAGCCCTAAAAGTGTTCAATCTTTCATTAGCTACAGTATATCACATTTAATAGTACAATTTATATTTGTTAAAAATCTACCAAGTTGTTTTTTTTAAATATATGACATAAATAGGTAACTTTAATTTACCAAAATTAACTATCAACAACAGATTAACATGAATAAAGATAAGCATATAAAATAAATAAATATTTCTGGATAAATATTTCTTATGAAGATCATAAGAATTGCTAGGACAATTTCCAAAATAGTTCTTAAAATTTGACATAAATAGGAAACTTTAAATATGTACAATTAACCATATTAAAAAATCTGCATTTATAAGAACAAGCATACGACATAAATATGCGTGGAATTATGAAGAAAATAATAATTACTAGAACAATCAAAATAAAGAAAAACTACAATAATACAATAATTTTCAGTAAAAAGGTGTTAAAAAATATATAATGGTAAAAGTCGAATTAATACGTAATAGGCATAAACGAACAAATTAACATCTTGAATGAATCATTTTGTTATTTAGGACATAACAATTTTAAAAATATAAAACAATGTGAGAAGTTGTTGTTATGGCATATTGAGAACAGCTTCCTACTCGGAATTGTAAATAAGTTTTGACAACCCCACGATCTTGATAAATTTAAATAGGAAGATTTAACAACCTAATTTAATTTAAACCCTGTTCAACCCTAAACATTTATCAACATTTATTATTAAGAGTTTTTACTCTTTCTCCCCATCATCATGTTCCGATGTAGAGCTGTGAATAATAATACAATAAATAATTGTAGGTCCCCTGTTTGCATTACTTTAAAAGATTATTATGTCACCTTGCCATCATGATAATTGAAAGCATAATGAACATCGTAAAAGAATCAAAATAAATATAGCTATAAAGAATTCTAAATTCTAGTTTAAATTGTTCAATTAAAGTTTTTTAATATGCAAATTTTCCAAAAGGACCCATACTATTTATTTTGAACACTGCCAATCTGTATTATTAATAAGCTACATGTTTTTTTTTACAATAAGTTTTTTTTGTTTAAAAAGATTTAACCCTTCAATATACACCAAAATGTACGTATTGGTGTTTAGATTTGAAAACTGACCAAAAATTCTTTTTAAAGGCTTTTGGGCTCTGTCCCAGAGGCTTTTAAAATTTACATGTTCTCCTTATGAAGAACATTTCTTTACATTATGGTCAGCTGGTTACTGTAGTGTAATTAGAGGTGAACTGTAAGGACCATGAGGTCCTAAGTTTGCCTCAATAAAGAATGATTTTCATTTCATCAGCTGGATAATTTAATTGCTGTTAATTCAGTTGCAATTTAAGGAAACGTGTGCTACAAACATTTACTGACTTGGTTGAAATGGCATTTTTACAATTTGAATTTGGGTTGGCGTATGTATTACAATGAAAAAACCGAGAAAGCTTCGACAATTTAATATACTAAAAAGAAAACTGAATTAAAACTGTGCTGCATTTCTCGACTAATCATTGAAAGAGCCGATTTGCAAACTATGGAATCATAGGAAAGCAATAGAACATCATCAAGTAAAAGAAATAGAAATAATGTATATCGTGAGTATTTCCATAATCTTTGAGTCAACTCTCTTAATGTCATCGGAAATTATGACTGTTATTCGTTTTAAAATAAAGCCTGTAATATTCGCGATTGCTCCAATTACACCAATCACAAAAGAAGGAGCAACGTTTCTACTGAGTTTCAACTAAGTAAATCATTGAATGTTGCAGTGTAACAGTACAGTAAATCAATTAAATTATATATACTATAGTTAACCTTTTATATCAGCTAAATAAATGTATAATTGAATACTAAACCAGTTTAAGAGGTATAATATGAAAAGAATACGATAATACTTCATTCACATAATATCCACTAGTAAGGTATTAAATGTATAGGTATTTAATAATATAAATGGAGTAAGTGCATTTTTAACACAAACATGCACACTGCGCATCTGCGATGCTAAAAAATCGAGCAGTAGACACAGTAAAATCCATGAACCGGCAACCGGCAAGTTGCGTTCGACATGTACAATGGGAAACAATGCCATTGTTTGCGCTTCCGTTGGTAACGCAGATTGTTAGGGCTCGCAATTGCCGCTAGGAGCAGCACACTACTAGGCTAAAAATCTCCCACGCTAAACTCCATATGGCTGCCTATCTCTTTATATTACTTCATCTATGCTATTAGGCTAGGCATATTAGGAATAAAAGTGGCAGTTAGCGGAAAGTTTAGGTACAGTCCTAATCACCATTGTTCTTTATGTTTTTTGGGTCGCTGAACACGAATATGAGGTTTGCTGACAGATATTATGCCCGGAACATTGTTTTTTTGACGAAAAAAGTCAAAATTCAGGTATTTGTTTTGGTTTTTGGGCTAAATCTTGGTGTAAATGGGTTTTCTGAAAATACCCGGGTTTGTACAATTAAAGAGCATAAAATTTACTACAAGTTTCATACATAACACTTGTTTCTACGACAAACCGTTACGTCACTAGAGCACACTAAAAATAGGTAAAAATACCAAAAATTTAAATAAAGAA